GGGGGGGGTCAAATCAGAGGTATATCACACTCTCTGGTACAAATCTCCCTTCCCTCCGGATTCTCCTGATTTCCTACCATTGTTTTTCACGGGATTTCCAAAACTTCCATAAAATACGGCTGTCCCTGTGAAGGTTCTTTTCTGGAGGTCATCGTTTGATAGGGAAAAACACTTCGATTGTTAAGCGATTGCCGGCGTCAAGTTGAGGCTGTAGTAACTCTACAAAAGAATTTATTCTTGAGTTTGCTCTGATAGGTCTTCCTCAGTGAAGCTGCTTGGCACCGAGGGTGAATATGGAGTGGACTCGACTCGGGCCAACCGATGAAAACCGAGGCATTGTGTCACAGGGGTGCCGAGTTATTGGCAACTGCTAGGTTAAGGAGGAATCTTCTTGAAGTTCAGGCCAGAAACAGGGCTCTTCATTGGATCTGAAAAGCAGTTTCTTTTTTCAGATAGTCAGAGAGCTGTAACTCAGCTCCGGGGTGAAAGCTAAGGTCGACTAGACCCGAGCCGACTGACCAAGACCAATGCATTGTATTAGCGTTGTCAAGAGCACAACGCTTATATCCATCCAGTCGGGGCCGCTTTTTGTCCTCTCAGTTGAACAGCAATTGCTGTTGAACTGTAAGTTCCAGGGAGTTGTGAACCCCCTCATCTATCTGGTGCTCAACAAGTCAGCGAAACCATCAGTCTTATATTCTGACCTTCTTGAACGATGAACCCCATGGAAGAAGTTGACAAATGAACCATGCGCTATGGGTTTCGCTTGAGTATAACGAAGCGCGTTCAATGCGAGAGAGTTGATAGAATTCGTAGTCCTCGTGACCTTCGAATGTGAACTCTATCTGATCGGATTGTTTTCTGTATGTCGTTGGTTTTGATTTTGTTCGTTGCTGCCAATGGAGGTAATCGTCAGTGTCACAGCCCTCGTTATATAGGCCAGTTCACAGTGCCTATTTATCGCAGCATTTCGCATATGCCATCACAACCAATGAGGTGTCCGTCCGGTTTTCATATATGGAAAATTGAGGGTGCGATATGGGATGACATTGAATGACTAGGTCATTTTTCAAGAAAGTTCCCAGTGATTCACGATTCTGAATTAAGAGAGGCGCTGCTCGGCTTGGAGGGGGCATTTTGCACTTTTGCTGGTACATGTTAACTAACAGGTAAACACCTGTAAACTCCTGCAAAACTTCGAAGTGGTCGAAGTGAGCCACCTTGTATACACGATTTTGCAAGTTTCCACAAAGCAGTTCGGACAAGCTTCACTGAGTACCATTTGGCGCTCCCCCACCTAGGCGAACTGCGTCAGGGGAGAATTTGAGAAGAAAGTTGGGAGGAGACCTGGATAATGATCTTTTACTTCGAAAACTGTGGATGCTGGGGCGTGTCAGAGGGGTGAGGGCTAGAAAGGGGCAAGCAACAATCGGTAGAAAGCGGACTGACGTTGTCCCAACCAACCCCTTTTCCAGGCTCTGAAACGTCCTAGCGCGAAGAAGACTGCAGGCTTAATCGCATGAAATATTCTTCTTATCTTTAGCATTTGTCCCACTCTGTGGCGAGGTCCGTTCTAGGTCTGGGCGCATCAAATGCCTCAGCATATTCTGATTACAAGTAATATACATGGCGCACTTCAAAGGGGCGCAATAAGGGTTGGTCTTACAACTGCAAGATTGGAGGAATTTGTCGTTCCTCGACTGTCTATTAAATTGTTGGGATGAAGGAAAACCTACAAGAAGCGTTGACCAGAAACATGGCTTTTCTTTGAAACTGAAGTAACTGCTCTTCTCGAGTTCTCAAAAGAAATGTGCTACAGATTCGGGGTCAAATCTAGGGTCGGCTCTACTCGGGTCAGCTGGTCCTAACAAAGGCATTGTTCAGACCAAATTTCACTCAGTATATCACTACGATTCCGTACTGAGGTAGATCCGAGACACATCCCAGAGCACATCCGAGGGAGAGGATTGATCGACGCCGAAAGCCTTCCCCTACTAATTGATTATATATAGAAGAGCAGTGTAATAGTGATGGGCGCTGTGATTTTTCAAAAAGTTTTTATTTATTGTATATAACTATTTGTTACTTTCCTTTGGATAGAGCTTGAGGAACTCCTTTTTTGAGCTCTTTTAATTTGGAATATCCTTTCGTTGTAAAAATACCAGTGACTTTCTGCTTAGAACGGAAGTGCAGTTCATATTTGAGGGTAAAGGCAGCATCCAACAGGGCACTTCCTGCCGTTGCGGAGAAAAATTATGCAATACGACCACTCCTCGGAAAAATTCCCCCTCTAGTGCGACCCTCCCCCTCTTATCATCCTACCTAACATCTTCGTAGACTCTCTCGACTTCTTACCACCTTACTTTTTTTTATCTAAAAATCGTGGGTTCTTCAGTTTTTCCAAAAGATCAAAAAGGAAAAGACGACCCTCACGAGGAGGGTTGTGTAGCGCGTGTGAAACGGGAAATAGCGGGAAAAAACAGCAACCAACAGCATTTTTATCAAAAGCATTACGATCCGCTCCCTCCAACGACCGGAATACGCCCCCCCCTCGCTGAGGATCCTCGGCGCTAGTAGGACGTGTCCTGATTTCCAATGCGTAGTTGCAAACGCAGCAACGGTTTAGACGGAACAGAAGCAGACTTTGAACTCACCCTCGAAATTCTTTTTTTTTTGGTGAAAAAACAAAAAAATAAATTTTGATTAAAAACTAAAAAAAATGATGAGCTTGATGCTCTGGAAATTTGCTAAGGAGTTTGGATGGATGCTGAACGTTTTCCATTAATGGGAATTGTTATTCAATCCATATGTTTTTCAGGGTTTCTTCCGACGTTCTATCCAGCAAAAAATCCAGTATCGTCCATGTACGCGAAGTCAGGAATGTCTGATTGTTCGAAACAATCGAAATCGATGTCAGTATTGTCGGTTGAAGAAGTGCATCATGGTCGGCATGTCTAGAGACGGTAAGGCATTCTATTTGGATTCCAGAGAAAAAAAACCTGGAATATTTGAAGCAAGGCACGGAGAAGTGAACCGCTTCAAAGGATGGTAATCTTGAGGGCTTGTTCACAGGCACACAAGACGCGTTCTGCCGTCGGGATTGAGTTTTGCAAAATACGACCTCCTTAAAAACTTCGTGCTATTGCATGACCTCCTTCCACTCCACCATCCTGCTTATCGTTTTCCTGATTTCTGTAACTTTCTGCTACTTTTTCGACGAATTCTCCAATCCTTCCCGCTCCCTTTCCGTTGAGCAAAGGGGAAGTGGGGAAGGGGATGGAAGGGTATATCGTCCAGTGAAACGGGAATTGCGAAGAAAGGTCAGCAACCATCATTTTTTCCCTAAGGCGGATGCGACCCCTTCCTTCACTGAGCGAATACGTTCCCCTTGGCTGGCCAACGACGTACAACGTGGTGCCCTGCCTACCCAGAGCTCGTACCCCACGTAGCTTTGTAAAGCAAAGTTGTAGAAGACTCTGGGCAAAGCAATAAACCGACTTCTACACGTTTTCGGCAGCAGTGTGGGCTGGTTGGTTGAGGGTGGTGCAGTGGGGGTGCCCAAATGCTTCCACTATTGTTGAGTAGGGGGAAACTGATTAGAAAGACGCAACTCTGTCGAGCTATGGGCAAGCACCCCTGCTGTGACTCGAATGCGGGTCACTCATGGCAGGGGCAATTCGGCTTGGTGGGGGCATTTTGTTGGCTTTCACCGATTACTGCCGATGCCTCTTGTGGAGTCCTGTTCGCTCCCGTAAAGCTACGCAATAGCACAAGCTCTAAGAAGAGTCTAGAGGTCTCACCAATGTGTGACGTGTGATTTAACAGGAACTAGCAGAATGAACCAGCGAAAGTCCAGACTGCCTCTCCCAAGCCGAAGAGCGCCCGCAGGGACATTTACATACTACAGTTGAACGACATCTTTCTGACCCTTTGTGCCCCTCTGGTGGATTCTATGCATGTACTTTCGGAGCGAAGTACAGCAGTCGCTGTGTTGAAGGAGGTCCATCTGAGTCATGTCGTGACGTTTTATGGCTTGTGCCTGCTGTAGACTAGTCAGTGGGTGGGTGGGTTTTCGCGCGCGCCAAAGCCCATTTGTCACAGTGTTTCGGGCCATGTGTTGAGGTCATCTTTGTTGTGGCCCTTATTCCTTTCTCTCTCCGAAAAGTGCTCATGTAGAATCCGGTTGCAATAACACCTCGGTGATTAAGGGCTATTGTTAAACAGCGAAAGTGAAAGAGCGCGTAAACGGGCGGGCTCGACTAAAGTGACCGCCATGGGGGCTCTTAAAAGGGCATTTCAGGTTTGAACTCCAACTCGAAACTTGGGAGATTCTCCTCGCCCTCAGTTTGGCGTTATTTGGATCAAGCTATGCTATGGTCATAGATCGGGCCGTAGTTTACTTTCCTGACGGTTTGGCCAGTTAGGGTTCATATGGATACGTCACAAACTGTGGTATACTGGAAACTGAGAACGCTGTTAGACTTGGGAGGGGCATTTAGCGCTTTCGCTGGTTCCTTTTGCCAGTGTTAAATTACACGTCACAGCTTGGCGAGGCCTGTAGAATCTTGTCAAGTGTTAACAAAGTTCCTGCTAGGCTTCACAGAACTTTACAGGTCTCTGAAGAAGACATCAGTGGACGACAGGAGCCAGCGAAATGCCCCCACCAAGCCGAATTACGCCGAAATTGAGTATGTAGCTTTCTTTTAGGGCTAAAGAAGCACGGACGAATTCTCAGATGTCATGATAAAGGTGGGAATAGGGTTCTAGCCGACCATTTGGACGGAACTGGGTAGTGGAAAATGGCGCCGTTGTCATCGTCTTTTGATGAAGTCGTAGATCGAGCCCCGCCGCGCAGGAGAGCTTACAAGCTAAAAGTGAAAAAATAATAACCTGATAAAAAAAGTAACATCCTTCCGTACAAGCGTCGCCCCACAGACCATTTTATAAGTCAAGCCACCGCGATTCGGTGGCCATTATGATGTCTGAGCCGAAGTAAAATGCCTGGCGCATTCCGGAACACTGAATGCTTTATTTTTCTGTCTTTCATTAACCACAGACAGCTGGGACAGTGAAAAAAGGCCCCCTTATCACACTCAGAAAATTTTTGCAAGATATGGCCCTCCCCCTCTCCACACTTGAAATTTCCTCCTTCGCTACGACACCCTTCTCGCTCCCCTTTTCCGCTCTACCAACTACCCAGATTTTCCCAACTTCCCACCCTCTTTTATTAGTATTTTCCCAAATTTCTCCACTTTTCCCCTAAAAAATTGCCGCCGCCGAGCGAGTGGGAGAGGGAGAGGTATACAACGGACGTGAAACAAAACCGAGAAAAGTCAACAATCGGAACATTTTCCACGAAGCAATTGCGATCCCCTCCAACGAGCCTCCAAATTCCCCCCCCCCCCCTCCTGGCTGAGGAACCCCACGGTACGATGTGCCCTGTTCTTCATAGCCTACCACTTGTTCCCCAGATTATTTGTGAACATTCAGAGTTCCTTCCAAAGACTGAAAAGTTTCCAGACGGGAAGATAGGTGTACTTCCT